AAAAAAAAAAAAAAAAATTCAGATGAAGCATAGGCATTTTGATGTATTTCAATTAAATTCAACACAAAACCAGTAAATTGTAGTGACTTCATTTTTTCCAACCACAAAATGAAGATAACAGTTGAACATAGCTAAAGTAAATTCAGAATTGAAGAAAGTCTCTATGCATCAATAATAAATACTAACTCCAGCATGGCCAGTGAGCCTAGAGCCATTTAGTGGATAGTGTTTGTCCTGTTGTGTTTAGCACACATTGAAACAAAATGCAAGAAGCAGAAGAGCATCCATGGAAGAAAAAATACTGGGAAAGAGACTTGACTTCAAAATGAAAGGCCGTGTGTCACATAATGAATTTTGCCAGCCTCTATTCATTGCATAAAATTGCTGTAGATGACAATGGATTTGCTGTCTAGAGCTAAGATAAATCTGGATTCTAACCTCATCAGGTTTCTTATTTTGAGGCCCCTCCTTCTTTCCCAGGTACTTTACTCATTCTCCGTCTTGATGAAATTTGCAGTGCCATATTTATTGTGTGGCTTTACATTTCGATGTTAGTATTTGAATAAATTTCAGTGTTCAACATTGCACATAGTAGGTGCTCCATAAACCCTCATTTAAGAATGTGGGACTAGCTGGACATACTTCTACACTATGCTGGGAGTATGGTTTCTCTTCAGGCCAAAGTGGAATTTTACTTGATGGTTTGTGTGGAAGTTTAGAAATAACACTCAGAGCTAGTATTTCTACAGATGTTCAAGTTTATCACTTGAATGAAAGTTTCTAGCTTCTTGTATTAAATGTCCTCATAGTTTTCCTGATCAGTAAGAGGCCCCTCAGAGCAGGGTATACCTTATCATAGCCACCATTAAAAGTTCTTAGGACTTCATCTTCTGTCCCTCTACCATTCATTGCCTCTTCCCTCTTGAAGCTAAAAGACTTTGAAAACAAAAACAAAAACAAAAAAACACGTTCTAGAAGTTGGCAAAATTAAAGGTGTGCTATAGTGGTGATCTGGCACATTGGAATTGAGATTGAGAAAGGAGGTGAATGACTGCCACAGAGGTCGATGGAGCTGAAGGAAATGTCGTAGTCAAGAGGTTTGTATGCGGAATGTGTGGGTTGAAGAGCTGTGCGGCTCCCGGTGAGAGGCACACTTACCGGGGATGCAGTCAGGGACGCCTGGCGAGTTAACTTCCACCTGCTGGAGGAGGGGCCGGGGCGGAGCTAAGATGCGGAGGAAGGTGACGCACGAGCTCTCCAGTTCGCCCGCTCCTGGCCTGACCCCCACCAGGGCCCATACCGCAGTAGGCTCCTCGGGCTGCTCCTCGGTGAGTACAGCTTTGATGTCGGCTCGGTCGCCTGCTGCCATGCCGAGATTTAGTATCGCCAGTGGGGGAGGGCGTCCTGCTAAAATCCTCGAGGTGGAGGCTGGGGTCAGACAAAGGATGGGCAGGATTAGAATGGCTATCAGTAAGGGGAAGGGATACTGAGGGAGGAGATTGGGCAGTTCATCAAATCAGAGCGGCTTTTGCTGGAATGGAGGTGAAAGACTGCATTCAGAGTGGACAAGGGAAAGATGGAGATGGAGAGCCTCGTGCCTGCCTCCAGCCTTTTCCATCAGAATTGCAGATTTTGCTGTTAAAATAGCTACTCGCAGCTCTTTGGAGAGCGAGGATTTGTATCTGGTGACTAGAAATAGGGTTTTTTTTTTTTGTTTTTTTTTTTGCAGAAAAAGAAATTGGAGGGTATAAAAATTTTAGTTTCAACGAAGGAAATGCACAATTTTGCCGCCTCCCATCTCTCCATCCCCCATCCCCCATCCCCCATCCCCCATCCCCCATCCCCCATCCCCCATCCCCCATCCCCCATCCCCCATCCCCCATCCCCCATCCCCCATCCCCCATCCCCAGTAGAAGAATGATTAGAAGGAGGATTTGCGCAGGGCATGGTGGCTCACGCCTGTAATCCTAGCGCTTTGGAAGGCCGAGGAGGGGTGGATCACCTGAGGTCAGGAGTTCAAGACCAGCCTGACCAATATGGTGAAACCCCGCCTCTATTAAAAATACAAAAATTAGCCGGGTGTGGTTGTGGGTGCCTGTAATCCCAGGTAGGGAGGATGAGGCAGGAGAATCGCTTGAACCCGGTAGGTGGAGGTTGCAGTGAGTGCAACAAGAGTATTAAAAAAAAAGGCGTTTGCAAGGCTGCTGCCTGAAGCATCCATCCCAACAGGTTAAGCAGCTGTCCTAAGCTGCAAGGATAATGTTCCCTTGTTTTGCAGACATACCCATAGA